ATTATTTGAAAAAACTAACATATTTAAAATATGTATTATTATTTAGTTTGTAAATAATTTATCTGTAATAATTCGTATTTACAACCAAAATGTCGTAATATTAATTCAGTTATGTGTAATTTGTTAATTATTTGTATTCCTGTTTCCATTTTTTGGAATTGTTTTACCAGTATTATTCAAAATACGCTATTTTAAGTTACTAATTTGTTTTATAAAATACGTTGTTGTTTTTTAATTAATATATGATGAAAATAAAATGTAATTATCACTTTACAAACGAATAAATTGCAAAAAATAGAACTATATGTACAAAGTATTATTGCACTGTTAGAGAAAAAAGTGTAAACTAATATTTTTTTCTGAGAAGATTTGATCTTAATAATTGTTACTAGTCATACTAGATTATTCAATTAAATAATATGAACAACTGTAAAAGACAATCTTTTGTACTTTCAACAAATACATTGCAATATAAATATGATACAAAATAATTAGTGTATAACCTATGTAAGTTTTTATATTTGCTGTACAATTTAACATTACACTTAATAAACTTAGTTATAAGATTATTATTTTATGAAAACTATTTGTTCATTAAACTATATGTTCTAGTTTTGTGGTATAGTTATATCTAATAAATTTGTTGTTTAAATAATAAACGCAATTTTTACTATTATATACTGTTGAAACTGTATTTACTAATAAATGACCTAATAAAAGTATAAACACTCACAAAATGTTTTTTATATTCTTCAATTAATATGTAGTATTAGTAAGTATTTAAAGTCCGTTTTAATATAAAGAAACAATAGTAACACAATAAAATTAATGTGGATTTTATTTTGATTTCTATAATATCAATACTTTATGTGACATATTTAAAATAATTAAACAATGAATAGTAACTTTTTATGATTACCACTTTATAGCAAGAGCTGTGTTCACTTTTTTAATTTCATGGTACTGTGTGTGGAAAAATGCTAAAGCTTTATCTGTATATTCTCCTCCTAACCAACTTCTATACAAATTCTGGACAATTGGATTTTGTTCAGGGTTACTCTGAGGAAGTTCTCGATACATAGAATCTAATTTTAATGCTAATTCACGTGGTTGAATATTATTTAATGGTCTAATTTGTGCTCCTCCATTAAGACATCCTAGTGATTAAATTAAATGATTAAAATGTATTACTACTATTATAATATTGTTCAAATAAAACTTACCAGAGGGACATGCCATAATTTGAACGTAATCATACAAACATTTTCCTCTTTTCAATTTTTGTACAATATTTTGTATATTTCTAAACCCATTAACAATTGCAAATGCTAAAAGTGTTTGTCCATTTTTTTGGAAAAGTGCTTCTTGAAAATCAGGATTTCTGAGATTTTTAAATTCAACTACTACATCTGTTTCATCAAATAAATGTTTTGCAGCATAACGAAAAATAAATTCAGCATAACCTCCAGATCCTGAACCACTATGACCATACAAATTGTTTTTTAAATTTTCAATTTGCAATTCAAAAGGTTTTTGAACTTCTTTTTCACTTATGTCATTTATTGCCACATTGTATTCATTAAGCATTTGTTCTAATTCAACTAGAAAATAATTATATTAAATAAATAACATATGTATATGTACAGCATATAAAAACTTTTAAATACATACTTGGAGTTATCACACAATCTACATCTTTAGAATTTTTTTCATGGTTGTAAAAATCTTCCCTAGATGCTTCTAATTTTTTATCATAACAAGGCATAAGAGTTATATGATAGACTTGTTCTGGTGAAAGGCCCATAGTTTCAGCTAAGTGATACTTCACTAATGATCCCATAATTTGTTGAGGAGATTTTATAACACTTACATGTGGAAGTATGAAATTGCCATGTGTTTTTTCAGCATAACAGACCCAACCTATTGTTAAAAATATGTAAAATAAGTAAAATTATTATTATTTAGTTCGTATGATTACATTGTATATCTTAAAATATTACATCACATATAATCTAATCAAAATAATATTGTACTAATTACCTGGACAAGAAGAAGACAACATGGGTAATTGATTTTTTGCACCCCCTTTAGCTGCTTTGTAACGTTCTATAAATTCCTTAGCAGACTCTAAAAGAGCAAAATCATCAGCTACAGTCATGTCTAAAACTGTGTCTGCTCCCAACTGGTAAAAATATCCAGCAAGTTTATTTAATGCTTGTTCAGGATTAAGATTATAACGTTCTGCTATAGATAACACTGCTTGCACAGAAAGACTGACTACAATAAACATTGAACATATACCATCTCCACTCTATAAAATGTATAACATAATTTGTCTGTATTTAGTTACTTTTCAATATGTAATGTAAAAGAAACATTATTTTAATAATTGTTACCTGACACTGAGACACTTTTTCTTTAAATACCCGCATTAATTCTTCTTGACTTTGCTGTGTGACTAATACAGTTTCTGCAGATGTAATACAACCACTACAAGCTAAACAATCAGCAAGTGTGATTTCAACTTTTTGTAATTTTTCAGTTTCTCCAGCCTAACAAATGTATAATAAATCTATAGCAGAACTTTTTAAATGTATATAATTAATTACTCCAATTAAGTGCTATACCTCACTTAATACCATAGGTATTCCATCTTCCTCAATTTTTATTTTTGCACCAGTTTTACTCTTTGATGCTTGAATTTCTATAGGTTTTATACATTCCTATAAAGAAATATATTTGTTTAAGTATACCTAATTAATACAACATTTTAAAAGTTATTACTATAAAATTAAATGGTACTAAAAATACCTGGGATGGAGTAATGAAATCATCTAAATTTGTAATTTGTAATGCTCCACTAAATCGAGATGTCATGTTGTCTGAAGTATTTAAACTTCAATTATTGTATTAACACTACTATACTTTTTTTATTAGTATTTAAACAATACGTACAGTTTTAAACAATATAAAAAATTGTTTTTAATCAAGTTTGGAATATAACCTAAATCAATTTGTACCAATAATATAATATGAAAACATAACCAAATCAATTGTACATTTAAAATACATTATATGATATCACTATTATCATAAATTGAATAATAGTTATATCAATAACAAAGTTAACTATAAAATAATTTATATAAGGATTATATTATGATAACTACGCACATTATTAATATTAATTCTCTCAATGTAACATTCAATTTCCATGATTTAAAACTTAACCTCATTTCCAATTACCAAATAGTGGAATAATTAAATTTTACTAATTTCATTTATTCGAGAATCGATTACAAGACAGAAATTACAAAATATTAGTGCACTGCTTCCTAAGGAAGGGGCTATTTAATGTTTAAGTTATTTTAAATTGTTATATATGCTTAATCGAAAACTTAATTATTTGACATTAATTTCAATTTAATTCTTTTTATATTATATTTCGATTGGATAAATCAAAATTTATATAATAAGAACTTAATAAATGAAATATACGTAAGCAAATAATAAATAATTAAATGAAGATAAATCATTACTTGAACATTATTAATACTAATACACCTAATGAAATATTACTAATACGATAAACTTGTAAAACAATTAACACAATTTAATGAAACCTCACTTAGCACTTTCTAATTATTTCATCCCCAACACTTAATCCACAATTTGAGAACCTCTGACGTAAGGGTTCAGGGGTAAGAGTGCGCCTGTAAGATGGCAATATCTTCATTGTCTGTTAACAGGAATAGTGGTACCTAATACAATTTTTATGAAATTTTAATACCAGAAATGACTGAAGTGAAAAAAGATGATGTCATTAAAATTTTACATACATATCCTCTTTGTAGAGTAAGTAAAATATATTTTAAATGTACTGTATCTGAAAACTATCGAAGAGAAATGAATCCGGTTTCTTTTATCAGTATTTGATCAATAGAAGAAGTTATTATGCGAAAAGTGGTATTTGCGCATATACACTTTTTCAAATTTACCATTATATGATGAAAAGTCGTCATTTAGGAATTATTTTCAAAAATTTAAATGATGAAAGAAGGATTTAATTCAAAAATATATACTTAAATGACGAAGTTCTATTTGCATATTACTGAATGTAAGATATTCTTTGTGCGTATTACATATTAATTAAAACAAACTGATTATGCTATTAAACAATTTATGCAATTATTCTCTACAAATTTCTTTATATTATTATCCATATTTTAGAAATGCGATATGTCAGATGAAATGAAACAGGAAGCGATGGAATTGTGCGTCACTGCGGCAGAAAAATATGCGGATAATTATGAAAGTGTTTCTCGAATGATTAAAGAGGCAATGGATAAAAAATTTGGTGCATCTTGGCACACAGTCGTGGGTGAAGGCTACGGATTTGAGATAACTTATCAGTTAAAGCACCTATTATATATGTACTGTGCTGGAAATTTAGCAATATGCATATGGAAATCAGCATAGTATAATTTATAATCATTGATATGTGAACAGATGTACAAATTGTATAATTATGTTTCTTGAAAAAGATAGATTTATATACGATTTCTGTTTTAAACAAGGCCAAGTAATACTGCACTGTACAAATCGATTTTCCGAAATCATAATCAAAGATATACAAATGATAGCAATGAAATACTTTGAGATTTACGTAAAAGTAAATTTACCTGTATGTCCGTAATTTAAGACTTTTCCTCGCTGTATTATATAAAGTAAGACTAATAAAAAACAATTTATAATTTTTATACAAACAAAAGAAACATAGTTCTATATGTAAGTATTTAAGATTCATTGCAAAAATGAATATACGATATAATGAAATTTATATGTTTGTGCATTTTTTCACTTTTTTTTTTTAACATTAAACTTTAATGTTTTTTATTATTGGATATTATGAATGCGCATATGAATTGCATACATGTAACAACCCGTACATGTGCGCGCAGTAAATTGCATACGTGAATTTATTGATTTTTGTGTGAGTTTATTTATTTATTTATATAAGAGCGTTTTGTGCAATTGTTGTGTAATACTATATGTATGTGTGTGTGTGTGTGTATATATATATAAAATATATGTTATTATGTATAACATAATATATAATTATCTATCTTGCT